GGAAGGCCAGCGCCTAGGGCCAGCGCCCCGCGGCTTGCAAAGCAACGCGGGCCAGGTGAGCCGATGTCCCCGTGGCCAGCCCCGGAGCCAGAGCCGTCCTAGTGAAGAGGGAAGGCCCCTCTGGGGGTGGGGCCCAATCAGGCCTGGGGATAGATCGCAGGCGTCGCCCCAGGGGGAGCGGAGTGACAGCGAAAGCGGCTGAGGTTCACTCTCATTTGTGGTCTCTGCTTCTGCAGGAGGCCCCGAAGCTTCAGGTGGATGATAGTCTGCCTGAGCTGCTGTCTGCCACTAGTGGCCAGTGCCTGCCTTTTGTTGCCTTAGAAGGTAAGATCCCTGCACCCCTGCCCAGCTTGGTGCGTTTTGGAGTCTCCATTCCAGTACCTGGGACATTGCATCTTGTTAGTCTTTAAAGTGCTACATAGTCCTGTATTTTGTTTCAGCTACACCAGACTAACACGGCTACATCTCTATCACTATGGGACATTGCAGGCACTGATAGGGTTGGTTGCAGGCCTTTCAGAAATAAATACATCCTGGGATGTCCTCCCTGGGCTCCAAAGAGGAGACCTGCCCCCTGCTGAATGAGCTGAATTTCTGGAGTGGGAGGGCGGATTCAAAGTTAAGCAACTGTAACTCTACCAACCCGCTAGTCAAACCTAGTCTCCGGCTGTGCTGAATTGTAGCCCCAGGGGAATTCTACAGCTGGAGATGCTCGGTGAACCTCTGTTAATGTGGTAGAGATCGCACCCTCTCCGCATTATCCTCCATCCTCTCTTCCTTAGGAATTGTCCTGCCAACAAAAGCAGCTTTGTCCAGCCAACACCATGAGGAGCTGAAGGGAGTGATCCAGAAACTAGTTCTGAAGGAGCATCGGCTGATCTGGAACAGCCTAGCCCGGAGTTGGTGAGTGGTTATTGGGCCAGTCCCAGAATGGGAGGATAGGCCAACAGTGAGGAAGAGAGGGGCACAAGCCTCAGTCGGTGTGGGGAACACATGGGGCCAGCTGATCTGCAATGAATGGTAGGGCTTCACTGATGGCATGGTCCCTTCTTGCGTGGAGGCAGTGTCCTTTGCAGGTCTGGGCTGGTTTGGAGATCTGTTCGTGAGCCACAAGCTCAGCTGTTGTGCTCTTGATTGGTTGCAGGAATGAAAGTGAGCGGGTGGTTTCCGAGCAGGTGTACACGGTGCCCTTTGCTCTGGCATCCCCCAGCACTGAGACAGTGACACGGGTGAGTGTGGAGAGCCCTTTGCAGGCTGTCCGGCTGCCCCTGGAGACTGTGTATGAGCGCTTCCAGCACCCAACCCACCACTTCAAAGACCTGATTGGTCACTACCTTAGTGGAGAGAAGCCCAAGGGCCTCCTGGAGACAGAGGAGATGCTGCGAGTGGGAGTGAGTCTGACTGGCATCGGGAAGCTGGCCCTGCATCCAGATGGAGCCCTCCACCTGCAGCCCCCAGCTGATGGGTCTGACTACTTCCTGAACCCGGGGGACTGGCAGACGCTGCTGGCGGAGATGGAGTCAGTGAGCAGCTTCTGGAAAGGGGCAGCAGTGCTGTGTGGCTGGGCAGGCGGGAGATGCTGCGAGTGGGAGTGAGTCTGACTGGCATCGGGAAGCTGGCCCTGCATCCAGATGGAGCCCTCCACCTGCAGCCCCCAGCTGATGGGTCTGACTACTTCCTGAACCCGGGGGACTGGCAGACGCTGCTGGCGGAGATGGAGTCAGTGAGCAGCTTCTGGAAAGGGGCAGCAGTGCTGTGTGGCTGGGCAGGCGGGGCGGTGATCCTGTATGCCCTCTGCGGGGCCTATCAGCAGCACCGGCACAAGCAGGAGCAGGAAGAGCAGCGGCGGGAGTTCGAGGCCCTGTGGTACAATGAGGACACAGCGACTGAGTCTGGGGAGGAGATGTTGGAGGATGCCTGCATCATCTGCCTGACCCGGCCCCGCGAGTGTGTCCTGCTGGGCTGCGGCCATGTCTGTTGCTGTTTCCGCTGCTTTGAGGCCTTGCCTAACCACACCTGCCCCATCTGCAGGAGCCCTATAGACAGGGTAGTGCCCCTCTACCAGGCCTGAGGGGGAGAAGGGGCTTCAAACTGTACCAGGGCAAGAGCAGAGGCGTCCCTGGCATTAGGCAGTACCATTCTGCCCATAAAACCTCAGCTACCTGTGTGGCAATGTGCAATTGACAAGTGTAGTGATGTGGGATGTGAGTCCACTACCTTGGGGGTGGAGGGTGCTGCAAGCCCAGCCCCCTAGGCTCAATTTTGGGGGGGCGGGGCTGGAGATGTGCTCATGCTCCTCCCCCTTTGGTGCTGGTCATGTGGAAATTGGAGTATGTGGCCTAAACTAGCATCACTCAGCGTGAAGCGCTTGATGACTCCCCTCCCCCACCAGCCATGTAACACATCTGCTCCCAGCACTGCAAGGAGAGTCTGATGGGACCATTCCCTCAGCACAGGGCAGCTCTCGACCTGCTACCCCAAGAGGATCGTGGCAGTGCGGGGGAGGGGAAATAGAGCCGCACCTGTTCCAGCCAGGCGGGAGTTTGAAGGGAGGCTGCATGTCTGGGTTGGAGAGGCATTTGTGCTAGTTTCCTCCAGATCCCTTCCTGAGCCCAGCTGGAGCCCGGCAGGCCTGAGGTGCAATGCTTCATCAGTGGCCAGGGATGCAGCTTGGACACCACGCCACAGGGCTGGATGTTACAGTAGGATTTATTCTTCTAGCACACCTTCGGCACTGGTGTCCTGAGAACGTGGTGCAGAGAGGCTGGCAGAAGCTGGGGGGAAGAAGGGAGCTGCGAGGTAGTTTGGGGCTGTGGGTCTGAGGCCAGAGGGCCTGGCTGCTGGGCAGCATGCATTGCACAGCTGAACAGCCAGGCTTGGTGCTTCCAGTGGTTAGAGACACGCAGCTTGGGGGCAGCATGTTTGTCTTTCCCCCTTCGTCTCCTGGGGGATGTTGAGTTGCAAGGCTTCCCCTGGAGCGAAAACTGGCAGCCAGGATGTTGTGCCCTCCTCACTGTCCAACTCTTGCAGCCTCATCACACCCACGTGCCAGAGATGGAGGCAGTAGCTGTTGCCAAACAGGGTGGTTTGCAGCAGACCTGGCTCCTCACTACCCCCAGCTGTTGGATCCCTGGAGGAAGACAGCCCTCTGCTCCCCTGCCTAAGCTGGAGGAATAAAGGGGCCCTAATGGAGGCCATACCCCAGGATAGGGTAAATTTACACACGCACAATCACACTCTATTGTAGTGCTGGGGGAAGCCTGCTGGGAATCTGCAGAGCTCCTGCAAGCTACGGGCTCCTGACTGGAGTGTTGCCTTCCTCATAGCTGCAAGGAGGTCTCACTGAATCAATGTTGGTGGTTATTTATAAAGAGAAGGATCAGAGGTTGGCCTTGTGTCTTTCTTTGAGGCACAGACTAGGAGACGAATGGGCTAACTTTCACAAGGGTCGGGGGGGAACCTGTGTACTGCACGGGTCACCTACATAGGCCCACGGCAGAGAAACACTCTACACGGAGCAGGACTTGGTGCTTTCTCAGGAGGAGAAGTCCACATTATGCAACAGGAAAGCCTCACTTGCTAGCTGGTTTCAACACTCCAGCCCTACGGGTACAGAACAGGCAAATAAAGAATGCAGCTGAAACCCCAGGGAGAGGGAGGATCCCAAGAGGTATTTAAGCTGGAGGGAGGGAGAGGCAACCTGTTATAAAATGGCTACTTTAGGGGTGCAGTAGTTTGGCTTCCCCAGATTTAAAGGGCCAGACCCTGAAAGGCATGCTGGGAAGAGGCTCCTCTCAAAGATGACCCTGCACTGAGGGAACTTGGCATGTTTTTACTGCAGTTATCTGGGGCGCCTGGGTTAGCAAGCCTCCCCACAGCAAAGCCCTTCCCCTTGCTACTGCCGCTCAGGGTTTCTGCACTTACCTGTTGTGGCGCTGGGGGCAGAGCCCATGGGCGTTTGTGCAGAGGTGCTCCAGGACACTGATCCACCCTACAGCAGGAGCCTTGACTGTCTGGCGGGGCAGGGGCTGATGGGAGAACAAGCCCTTTTGCCTGCATTCTCACTGCAAAGTGGGCAGCTTCCAGCCCAAGGGAAACTGAGGCCCTGGGCTCTAGCCCCCTGCTCCCCAGCTGTATAAACTAGTCTGGGTTCAAGCCCCACCAGCCCGGGGGCAGGTTTTCAGTGGGAAGTATTGGGCTAAACACAAGACAGAGCCGGGGATCACTGGTGCGCCTACCTTTAGCTGACACCAGATAGTCACTGAGGATGCTGCTGGGGCAGCTTATTGCTGTTCCATTACACCTCTTCCCCATAGAAGCCCCTCCCCCTCCTTTGCATATTGGTATTAATTCCTTAGGCCCCTCCCTCTCTAAGCTCCCCTCCCTCTGGGTTGTCTGTCCCCCCACCTCCCCATGGGGTGGGAGGTCACTGGCAGCCCCAAGGGTTCCCTGCTCTGTGGCTGGGCAGGTGGAGGGATGAGTTGGGTGCAAGAGGTCAGGAAGTTCACCATGAGTTCTGACCCTTACGTCATGGGGCTGTGACAATGCTGCTGGGCCTTGCTTGTTACTAGCTGCCTGTGCAGTTGCCACCTCCCGGCAGTGGGTCTTAAATCCCCGGAATGCCTCCAGCTGCAGCCATTCTCTGGGCATCTCAACCTGGCACGTAGCCACCTAGTAGGGAGAGAGAGGGTGGCTCCGGCAGCCACGTTCCTGGCTCGGGAGGAGGGGGAAGGGGGTATAGCTTTGGGTCTCACCCTGTGCTTTGGGAGGTTTGGAGCAGGAGCGACTGGGAAAGCGACTTGGCCCAAGCATTAGCGTGCGCTGAGACTGAGCAGTGAGTAGGGGGCTGGTGCAATGAGCATAGAGCTCAAGTGCCAAGCGCAGGCTCGCCATTTCCTTGCACTCTGGCCTGGGGGCCTGTATGAGAGCTGGTGCGGAGAGCCTGCCCTGCAGGGATTCATGCTCTGCTGTTAGTGGTAGCCTTGCCTGCAGGAGCGCTCCTGGCTGCCTCCAGCAGGGGGTGTGAGGGGACAGTATTTGCAGAGGGATGGCAGGAGGTGAGGTGCAGTGGGGCTAGGGTTGGCTTGGTAGAGACGGTCTTCAGGCACTGCAGAGGCAGAGGAAAAAAACCCAACCGGCGGGGAACCTGAGGACAGCCCTGAGTATAGAGCGAGTCATGCGGAGAGAAACGCTCACCTGCAGCAGGGCTGTAGCCAGGAGCCCCTGTAAAATCACCAACCACTTGAGTGATCGCTCGCGCACAGCCAGGTCCTGTCCTCTTGTGGGTCACTAGAGCGGGGGGGTCCTACCGCAAGGGGGAGCAGAAGTGGTTTCTTTGTGGTAATGGATGCAGGAAAGGGGGTGCTGCATTGCTGAGGCAGGTGGTAGTGGGCAGTTACCTCCCATGTCCTGCCGGGCCCCTGCATAATTCCTCCACCATTGAGCATGGCCAACCTGCTGGCCGCTTACCCCGAACACCCCGTGCATCCAACTGTCCTTGCTGCTGGCGAGCCAGGAGGGGACAAAGGCCAGATGAGCCAGCAGCGAGGCCCAGCCCTGCAGCCACCGAAGGAGGAGATGGACGTGGAGCAAGGTTTGGAAAAGCTAAGCCTCGCTCTTCTTGTTGCTATGGTAACCCCACACCATCCTTCTCCACTGCTGTTCCTGCTCGCACACTCCGAGTTGCCTTGGAAACCCAGCCCAGCCTGTTTGGCATTGCCAGAGTTCATCATTTATTTTCATAAGAGGGAGGTCCCTGGCGCTGGAAGGAATGGAGCAGCCAGGGCCCGAAGCTCACTGACAGCAGGCTCAGCTGACGCTCCTAGCTGCAAAACGTGAAGAGGCGCCGATGTGCCTGCAGAGAGCCATAGCCTGGAGTTGGCCCTGAGAGGGGCATGGCTGCTCGTAGGGTCAGTTCCTGAAAGGCTACAGGTTTATGGTATTGCCCACGTTCACAATTGTTGATATTTTCCTTAAAGCCACAGTGCCCAGAGTCACATGAGCATGGGGGGGGAATCTCAGCTTTTAAGTTTCTAGGCTCCCTGGGTGCAGAGAAAAAACTTGAAAACATGAGGCAACTGTAGCCTGGCCCCTCCGATCTGGGAAAGCAATGCAAAGAACCCAAATTACATAAGAACTTAAGAATGGCCGTACTGGGTCAGACCAAAGGTATCCTGTATCCTGTCTTCCAACATTGACCAATGCCAGATGCCCCAAAGGGAGTAAACAGAACAGGGAATCTTCAAGCAATCCCCCACCTGTCACCCATTTCCAGCCTCTGACAGAGGCTAGAGACCCCATTCCTACCCATCCTGGCTAATAGCCATTGATGGACCTAACCTCCATGAATTTATCTAGCTCTTTCTTGAACCCTGATAAAGTCCTGGTCTTCACAACCTCTTCTGGCAAGGAGTTCCACAGGATGACCATGCACTGTATAAAGAAACACTTCCTTTTGTTTGTTTTAAACCTGCTACCTATTAATTTATTTGGTGACCCCTAGTTTTTATATTATGGGAACAAGTAAATAACTTTTCCTTATTACTTTTTCCATACTAGTCATGATTTTATAGACCTCTATCATATCCCCCCTTAGTCTCCTCTTTTCTAAGATGAAAAGTCCCAGTCTTTTTAGTCTCTCTTCATATAGGGCCTGTTCCAAACCCCTAATAATTTTTGTTGCCCTTTTCTGAACCTTTGCCAGTGCCATTATATCTTTGTTGTGATGAGGTGACCACATCTGTATGTAGTATTCAAGATGTGGGTGTACCATGGTTTTATAGAGAGTCAAAAAGATGTTCTCTGTCCTATTCTCTATCCCTTTTTAATAATTCCTAACATTGTGTTTGCTTTTTTGACTGCCACTGCACACTAAGTGGATGTTTTCAGAGAACTATTCACAACTCCATGCTCGTCAGTGACTGACAAGTAGCGATAGCCTATGAAAAGCTTGCACTGTACTCTCACCATTTCAACAATTATCTTTTTTCTCTCTGAAATAATAAACAATAGATGAGACCTCCTAATGGCTTTCCATGTGTTCATCACAGCTACCTGCATGAATTTGCTGTAATTAAGCAATCTGAAACACTGACTGACTCAGAAAGAAAGCTATTCCATACCAGTGGTGTCCTTGAAATGTCTTTATCATCAAGCAGTCTCTTCTCTTCATCTCAGCAAAAGCTAATGTCAGCACTACTGTGTATCAACCCTTTCGCTAGAACAGCTGTAAAGAACAAATCATGGCAAACCAATACGATATCTTTCTTTGATAGGATAACGAGTCTTGTGGATAAGGGAGAAGCAGTGGACGTGGTATACCTAAACTTTAGTAAGGCATTTGATATGGTCTCACAGGATATTCTTATCAATAAACTAGGCAAATACAACTTAGATGGGGCTACTGGCTGGATAACCGTTCTTACAGAGTAATTAACAGTTCACAATCCTGCTGGAAAAGGTATAACAAGTGGGGTTCCGCGGGGGTCTAATTTGGGACCAGTTCTGTTCAATATCTTCATCAATGATTTAAATATTGGCACAGAGAGTACACTTATTAAATTTGCAGATGATACCAAGCTAGGAGGGGTTGCAACTGCTTTGGAGGATAGGGTCATAATTCAAAATGATCTGGACAAATTGGAGAAATGATCTGAGAAACAGGATGAAGTTTAATAAGGACAAATGCAAAGTGCTCCACTGGGGAAGGAACAATCAGTCTCACACATACAGAATGGGAAGCGATTGTCTAGGAAGGAGTACTGCAGAAAAGGATCTAAGGGTCATAGTGGACCACAAGCAAATATGGGTATGTCTACACTTGCACCCTCTTTCGAGAGGGGGATGTAAATGCAGCTGAGTGAAATTGCAAATGAAGCACGGATGTGAATTTCCTGTGCTTCATTTCCATATTTGCGTTATGGTGCTATTTCGAAAAAAGAAACGCTGTCTAGATGCAGTTATTTCGAAAGAAAACCCTCCTTCCGAAATAACTGGTAAACCTCATTGTAAGAGGAATAATGGTTATTTCAGAAGAAGGGTTTTCTTTGAAATAACTGTGTCTAGACAGCGTTTCTTTTTTAGAAATAGCGCCATAACACAAATATGCAAATGTAGCGCAGGAAATTCAAATCCACACTTCATTTGCAATTTCACTCAGCTGCCTTTGCATCCCTCTCTTGAAAGAGGGTGTAAGTTTAGACATACCATGAGTCAACAGTGTGACGCTGTTGCAAAAAAGTATCAGAGGGGTAGCCATGTTAGTCTGGATCTGCAAAAGCGACAAGGAGTCCTGTGGCACCTTGTAGACTAACAGATGTATTGGAGCATAAGCTTTCATGGGCAAAGACCCACTTCGTCAGTTGCATGTTCGTCACATGCATCTG